GCAGGATGCTGTAAATGGACCAAACTTCAGTCAGGAGAACAACTGAGATAATCCATCCACAATACGAGGTTAGTCATTATTATACTGCAACAACATGGGAATAGAGCAGCTGCCAGAGAATTTAACATTAATGAGTCAATGGTACGGAAGTGAAGGAAGCAAGAAGAATGAGTTGAGTAAAGTTTGACTTATCTGACTGTTTTGTTTTACTTTATGCACCTTATAATACGGTATCTAAATTCCTTATCACAGCTCCTGTGCTATATCTTAATAGTTCCTCAAACTGCTTAATCCAGAAGACTTCTAGGGACCCTAGTACCCTTTGCATAAACCCTGACTGCTATACACAACCTTCAAACTTGAAGATATCTGGTAAAGAAAATATGTGTATGCGGTTTCTGTGCTGTATTGTGTACTTTAATGTTCTTTAAAACAGACATATACACACACACACTCACCAGGGGGCAGTGGTTCATCTACTCTCTGGTAGCGACTGATGTCATGGCGAACAGATGGCAGGGAGTGGACAGACTGGTGGCCATTGACCTGTTCTGTGGCACCTGGATAAAAACACATAAACAAGCACATAAAAAATTAGAGCATCAAAATGAATATAAGAAATCCAAAAAGGTAAAAAAAATTATAGTCATGGTTCATAACAGCTCTGCTACTTAATATAATTCAATAACATGAAAAGGTTAAATAAACACAATTGTTCCCTTTAAAGCCAGTGTATTATTTGTTTTGAATTAAGTACCACTACAGTCGTTCATTAATACATCCTGATCGCTTGGTTACGATTTTTTTTAACAAGGTTATTCATCTTGCGCTGGACTGGACCCCAAATGGCACAGCCATACCAGGCTTGGCACAGAGAAAAACCTATTGACACTTGAAGCACCCATCTGTAGGCAAAGAGCTGAAAGGGGGGTCACTGGTCACCAGTCTGCCCTCCTGTGTGTCTTTACAAATTTCCTGTGCATGAATCTCAGGATTTTGTTGAAATGTTTAATAAGCCTATCCATGCACTGCATGAATAGTTTAGTTTTTGTCAGTGAGCAACACTGTAAGCTGCTTTGGAATTACGAGTTAAGTCTATACAAAGATTTTGAGGCAATGGAAGAGAGCTTAGTGTGTAAATGAATGAATATCATGATAGTATGCAAGGGCCAACACAGAAACACAATTAAAGTAACACTTTGAAAACATCAGATCGCTACAAGAGAAAACATATTAGGTTCTGGTTGAGTGAACACTGGCGCGCCTGGCTGCTGCTGCCAACCGGTTATTGTTATTGTTTTTATTATAATTTCTTCAGATGTTGACAACAATTTGAATCGTACGTTCACACTTGAGGCGAAAGCGCATCAAATCCGACTTTTCTGACCCTATGCGACCCATATCCGATCATGGTATGACAGTGTGAACGGCACAAATCCGATATTTTCTAATCCGATCTGGGTCACTTTCATATGTGGTTCTGAATCCGATACATATCTGATGTTTCAGAAAGCGACTGCTGTTTGCAGTTAGCTCCTAGCATTTCTCGACAGCTCTGCCTCCTTTTCGACTACCCGGGACATTTAGATAATGTATACCTCATACACAAACAAATTCAGGCTTTTCTTCTCAACAACTTAATAATACAGACTTATCATGTGAAGATTCAGCAGCCAGATGAAGTGTTTACTGATGATCGACAGTGATAGCGGACATCATCCTCACTATTCCAGCAATCCTCTCCACACAAACGAGCATAAACACACTCGACTATCACTAAATCAAATTTAACACACGTTTGTAATGATGCTAATTCAGTTTACAATAGGGTTCATTCGCTCGGTCAGCAGGTGGCGGTATCCTCGTACACTGGGGAGTAAACTGCCATTAAATGAAACAGAAGAAGAAGAAAACCCCTGCACATGTGCAGTAAGGATCAGCGAGTCCTGATCCGTAACTATCTTTCGTTTTTGTCTACATTATATTGAAATGTTTCATTATTGCAAACAATTTAAGAGATACTTATTATTCTTAACATCTTAACAGATACTCTGACCCGTAACTATCGTTAAATGCTTCGACCGGAAGTAGACACCTTTCGCACATGCGTGGTACGGATCGGGTAGTGACAGCGACAGCTCACTGATTTTGAAGCGTCGGTGGGCGCTTTGTGTTTACGTCCTTTTTGCTCTGGATTCTGAAGGTTTTATCTCTCTCCAAACAATATTGACTGAACCAGCAGCAAAAGAAGATCCAAACTACGCTTCACATAAACATCGTCATGAATTCACTCTGACTTTTGCTGTTTTGCTTCCACCAGGATAAAATCACACTTCATGCACAGCTCTCTCTCTCTCTCTCT